ACAAGGATAAAGTTGGATAGAGAACATACTACAAATGGATCCTTGATAATTTCACACTCAAAAGAGGTGAAAACATAGAATTTACAACACCTTTAAGATAGATGATCGTGAATTGATGAATCTGTGAGTTGATTAATCTATTACAATATCCTCATTGATATTCACCCTACCCATCTGCTACCAATGTTGCAAAGACACATAGAAATTTTGAGAGTTCATGAAAAGAAGTGGACCAACAACCATTCAATGAATGTAGAGGCTTCAAAATAATTATTCTTGAAATAGACGTCTTTAGAGTGCTTTTCATTTGTCCTAGCAATGAATATGTCCCAAAAGATAGACCACCTTTGAGATAGAAAGCCACTAGCGCATCAATGGTTGGGTGATATGCAAACACAAAATTAAAGGATAGATTTCAACATATTATTTAATTTTCTTAGACATCAATAGCTGGGTCAATAAAACCTGACAGACAAATTTTTCATAACTAATTCTCAAAAAAAATTGAACCAAAAGCAATGGAAAAAAAAATGATTACAAAAAGTAATTTACCTAATGCAACTTGTGAAATACTTCTTTAAAAACAATATTAGTTGTTTTGTTTTGAGACATTGCCTTGAACATCCAAGCTTAGGATTTTCAATCTATGCTTGCTCTTTACTCTTAAAAATGCAACATACAATTGACCATGGCTGAATACTGGCCTTGGAAAAAGTAAATTCCAACGTGCGAAAGAGTTTGCCCTTGACTTTTGTTGATGGTCATAGTAAAACACTTAACTAAAGGAAATTGTCTTCTTTAGAATTTCACTAGGAGCAAATGGTTGGAAAGAGTCATTACCATCTCAAGTATAAGAATAGACTCACCTGCACTCTTTCTAGATAGAATCTTTTCTTCAACAACATGGTTTCCAAGTCTTATGATTAGTAACCTTGTTCCGTTGCACAAGCCATTGGATCGATCAATATTTGTCACAAGCATGGTTGGGACGCCTACTTTGAAAGTCACTTTATGATCTGGAAATCTTGAAACAATGAATGTGTTAAGCACCTTCAAAGAATATGTTTGCTAATTGGTGTTGTAGTCCAAATCATCTTTGCATACTGAAATTGAACTTAAGTAGCTCTTTTCCACATTTTTAATGTTTCACATCAAATGATCAGTCAACATAGCAACATTCTTAATTGTTGGAGACAACATGGAGTGCTCTTGGAAGAACTTAATATTTGGATCATTTATTTTGCACAAAAAGTCTAGATATACAAAATCCACAAGTTCACCAAGTTTATTAGCATCATCCTTGATCCACATTTCTTGTGGAATCTCAATAATCAACTTACCATCAACATCATCACCAATCCTTCAATCTCCAACTTTCAATAACCAATCAAAAAATTCCCTTAACTCCACTAAATCATAGTTAGATGAGGTTGTCTATAACCTAAGATTTTTTGTAAAATTCAAAACCTGACAATAATCCCACAAGTAGGAAGAGTTGATTATTGCATCAACAAATTGTTGTCTACTGCCATAAGGAACTACTGGTAAAATTTGTCTAAGTCACCTCCAAGAACATGTTGTACCTATGACTTTGATGATTACAAAATACATTTAAGTGACTAATTTGTTCATTTAAGTGTGTAGTTGAACTTCCAAAAGATTACAAAATTAAGTGAACTTGAAGCACACTAAAAATCGGACCAAAAAGGCTGAAAAATGTGTAGAGAGCTAGCTCTAGAAATTTGCAGTCGGCTCTAGTAAAGGCCAGTGTAGAGAGTTGGCTCTATGGGAGAAAATTTTAAGTGCACAGTTTGGCGCACATGAAAAATGGACACAAAGCCGACTTTAACTTTGTAGTTGGCTATGATGGTGCTTTTTAATGCACAACGATCAAGTTATTCAAAGATATGTTAATCTTTTAAAGTTGGATTTTCTAAGTTGGCTTTACGTTTTGCAGCTAGCTCTTCAACAAAACAGAATGTGTAGGAAACCCACAAAGTCGACTCTAGGAACTTAAGTTGGCTTTGCTAAGTCGGCTCCAAATTCAAAACTAGCTTTACTGACAAATCTACAACTCCAAATTATGTGACCCGCAAATCATTTAATAACCCCCAACAACTAGAAATGGTTATTTTCGACCAAGGGGATATAAATATGGTTGGTAGCATATCTAAGATAAGTGTTAGAGCATTATATTGAATATTTCTTCCTAGCAACTTGTGCTTTAACTTGAGTTTTTGATCTTTGAGTGATCTTTACTTGTAATCCGCATCTTATTCTATTTATGTGTTATTTTGGGGTGTGATCATTCTTTCAAGAGTGATTTGTAGAGAGGAGTCTTGGGATTTATCTTGTAAAGGGGTGGGATTTGAGAGAAATATTCTTCTCTTGTAAGAGGATTGAGTGGCTCCCTTAAACCACCTTGGTTTTTCTTAGTAGAGAGTGTGAAGGAAATCCTTGGTGAGTGAAGCCAAGGGAAAGGATTAGACTCCAAGTGATTGGACCGAACCTTTATAAAATCATTGCACAAATTTGTTTTCCCTACTCTCTCTTTAATTTTTGTTTGGTGGTTGCAAAGAGGTGAAAATTTTCCAACTTCAATTCAACCCCCCTCTTAGAGTTCATTGAGCCAACAGAACAACAGTTATTCCTCCAAAAGGTTCTTTTGAAATGTCATTATTGTCATCTTTGTGGACGTTTCTCAAGGACTTGTCTAATGATTCAAAACAAAACCTATGTGACATTGGAGCCTCATCCCACATAATTAATTTAGTCTTCGACAACAACTCAGCTAAAGGGGTCCCTTTTTTCTATGTTGTAAGTGGTATCCTTATTTAGGTCTATTGGGATAACAAATCTGGAATGCGCTGTTCTTCCTCCAAGTTATAATTCTGTAGCAATACCACTTGAAGCAACATTAAAAACAATCTATCCTTTTGATTTAAAAGATGCTAATAGAGTTTTCCAAACAAATGTTTTCCCAGTATCTCCAAAACCATATAAAAAAAAACACCTCCTCTATTCTCATTAGCTGTCTACATTATAGTATCATCAACCTTTCTTTGCTCA